CAAATGCGGTTTTTGTAGCATACTCCACTACTTTACTAAATCATACTCTACTACTATTCATAATACCGGTATATAAATACTCCGACATATATTTTTTATGATAATTAATCATAAGCCAATACGTAATTTATTATAAGTACATGCCCTAAAATTTTGGGGTGTGAACAGAATCGGCCGCGATGAATCATAACTAATTAAATGTGCATGAGTCAATATATAGCGTGATTTGCGTTTTAGAAGAATTAATTAAAATTTAATTTAATAGGGTCGATTTTGAATTGCTTAAATTAGTGACGTATTTGTTTTAAATAAGTAATTTAAAATTCTATTTTTTTTATATGGGTGACAGGACATGAAAACCTGTACATCATTTCACTCATTATCATTGCAGCGATTATAAGGATTAGGGTTACATATCACTACGATGATAATGAGTGGAATGATTTACAGGTTTTCATATCCCGTCACTCATATGACAATAATATATCATCAGAAAAATACATCTGTTTCATTTTCTAATTTCGGAATTTCATAACAGAATTAAAATTTTAATTCCCACTTATTTTCGAAATAGGCTAACATTGGGAAATTTTTAAATAGAGTGGATATCGATTACCAGCTACAGGGCGATTGCCATCGATTAGAAAAATCGATAATAATCAATATTGATATACAATCGATGAAAAAATAATCAATTTTAATGTGTTTTGATGCCAATCGATTTTGAATCAAGCGATACTAATCAATATTAATCGATTTTAATCAGCATCAATCGGTTCTAATCTGTATCGCTGGCAATCGACAGGGGCGCTGCTTATTGATTGACATTTCTCTGTCAATCGATTACCAACCAATTTAAAAATTTCCTACTGAATTTGAATCACCCTAATAGATTAAATCTGTATATTTAACATATTTAACTTTAATATTAGCAAAAATATAGGAAATTTAAAACTTAAAAAAAAACAAAATTACAAATAAACAGAGTAAGTTTACTATGGAAAGCTTATACTTTTAAGAAGGTAAATGCTGAAATGAAGTTACATAGCCAATTATTCAGCATATAAAACTATTAGGTTTTTTTACTAATCTGGAAAATTTCGTATTCATCCACTGAAAAGTATGAAGTTCCATAACTATTAAATGTAGATGCATCTCTAATTAGTTCATATGATCTAGGTTGATTCCAACATTTATGATTAAATTGATTAAAATTATTCGTCATAGTTAAATCAGTGCCACCAAAAATTGGGCCAAAGCCATTTCCGGTTTTTTTACACGACTTAAAATAGAATTTTGAATGGTACCATTTTTCAATGAGAAAATAAAGCTATCTTTGCAATTCTTACCGTGATAGGAACCTATTTTTGGTTTATCCCAACCGACAGGATTATAATCACCAAGAATTTCATCAGTACCTTTAACTTTCATAACTACGACAAGATGTGTTTGCTTATCACATAATTCCCAAATTGAATCATTGGTAAAACCATCTCTAGTTCCACGAACAAGTAATTTAAACTCGTACGGATTATTTGTTATTGAATATATGTTTTCTTTTCTGTCAACCCATGAAGCAATTTCTGTTGCATGTACATCATTGATAACTGTTGAAAATGGTTCCGTAGTTCTAGCTGGTAGTTTTGGTGTTAATATTACACGAGGTGGAAGGATTTTTGAAGTTATTGATTGATTTGGAGTCATAAATCTTTTCATTATATCATTCCAAAGATTTTTTTCAAGAATTTGATGATATGGTTGTATGTTATTAAGAATATTATCACCTGACATTTGAAAGTAACGGATGTGAGGCAAACAATTTTGTAAAGTCGTCTTTAAAGCTAGAAAATTTTCATTTGACCAATCTTCAGGATTTGTCGATAAGTCAGGATTTTGAGCAATTCCCCATTCGATTACACGATTCCAAATTTTGACTTCTTCCATTTGTAAATCATCTCGACTAATAAGTGATACTAACACATTTTCTTGAAACGAGAAGAAGTATTCCGATTCAAAAACTTTATCAGGATACTTTACCACAATATCATTGCAAAATTTTTGTAATACTTGAAGTTTATGATTTTGGAAAATTTTTTGATAAATACGAGTAAAATTTAAACGAAACCAATGAGCATCCGCTTCAATTAAACGAGTTTCAAGATGTTTGGCTAATTCATCAAAAAGAAATTCATAAGCAATAAGCATAAGCTCAAAAATAAATGATGCATTATGCTTTTCAAGCAAGACAACTCCTCCGTAGATATATCTTTGCATAAAATTAATTTATATTTTAGATTTTTTCTCGCAACATCTATAAATCATAATATAAAAAATAACCTACTTGATTATAATCTCAAAATGTTGGATAGAAATATTTCTTAAATTAAGTGTTTTAATACCATTAATATCTTTACTGACATTCGCCAATTCATTACGAGAATATAAAGACCTATATCTTAAAATCGCCGAATGTGCTTGAAATATTTTAGTATTTGGTGATTCACCAACATTAATGATTATATTAAAATCTTCTTTGTCCTCAATTAATTCAAGATAATTATTTGAAAGGCTTTCAAAGAATTTTACTGCCATTTTAAGTGTGAAACTTTTATTTATTAATGTTAATAGTATGTATATATATCTGTATATACTGTTTAAATCCCGACAATTCGTGTAACGTTCGACAATGTAGTGACATTTCCTGGCTTTGAACGTAAGTGCATAGGGCTAGATTAGATCATTTTAGAACCAGATGTAGAGCATAGATTATACGAAAATTTTATAAATTAATTTTAAAAGCTTCTATTGAGTTATTGGTGATCTTTTTTGTAATGACGATGGTTTCGTCTTACAAAACTTGACGAAACTCCTAACTATTAATAGTTCTATTTGATCAATGAAATAACAAAATACAGGTAGTCCTATTTCAACGAGCTTCTTACAATATGCAGAATATTAAAATTTACAAAATTAACTGTTATTTTATAATAAGTTTTCATCGTTCCATATGGAAAATAGTATTTTTTTAATAAATTGTCAATTTATTATAAAAAAGCTAACCTTTACAAGAGTTAACAAATTCATGCAAATTAATTTTTCTAGTATGCATTACACGGAATCTAAAGTTGTAATCTTTTTTTATTAACTTAAATTATTACGGCATTTAGTTTAGTTAGCCGAAATTATTCTTCTTAGTTGCCAAAATTAATTTCATATTTGGCTGGAATTTTTTGAACACTTTTATCAAAATATATCATGGAATATAGTTATTTCGATGAGTTTCATAGCAATGCCAAATGTTTGCCGAAAATAGTTTTCTTCAAAAATAATTGATATATCTATCTTTACTTATATCTTTACTTATATCATTCTTGTGACTTACCTTTTGCGATCTAAACTAATTAAATTTGCTTTAGAAAATAAAATTTCAATTAAATATAAATTGTTAGATTAATAAGTACATTTATAAATCCAATCTTCACAAAGGACAGGAAATTAAAAGATTTCAAATAGAATAATTTTATTCTAGATAAAGCTTGTAAAATTATTATTAATCTTTATACTTTTAAGATAGAGTAGACGATTACAATGGTACAAAAATTTTAAAATATATATTCGGTTTTTATTATGTATAATGTTAGTAAAAATTATGATCTATTATTAATTCATAACGTTGATCATGACATTACCTAAAAATTAACCTTTAAAATACATCAAGTATATTTGTTTACGCAATAATCGAAGGCTAATTATCACGCAATTTTTTTGAACTATCTTAAAATTAGATTTGGCAGTAATAATGACTGTCAAATTTTTACGCTGATTTTTCTGTATTATAAAACGTACCTATGGTGCTTTGCACCCATTATATATTTTATTTTCTAAGTTTGTATACAAAACTTTTAGCGCAAAATTTAAGATTAGAGTTTGTAACATTTTTATTTAGGACGATAGTTATTAGACAAAACCTCGAAGTTTCGAGTTGATGAAACGCGAAACCTAGTTTCGTCTTTCGTTATTAATTAAAATTCCAAATGACGAAACTGACAAAAGGTGACGAAGCTGATTAAAGGTGACGAAACTGTTAAGGGTGACAAATCTAATAAAAGGCGAGTATACAGATAAATGTTGTTGAAAATCATTGAAGATTGTGTATAAAAAATAAGCAAAAACAGAAATTTATAAAAATTACAAAAAATTTTATTGTATAATAAGTGCTTGAATTGTCTAAAGAGAGTTAGAAATGAGTATTCTATACATATCAGTTCTAGTGAAAAATCGTTTGGTGATCTTACAAATTTATTTTGTGCTAGTATGTTTTATAGCATGTCCAGAAAAAATGAACTGGTTTATTTTTGCTGGCATATATGTAATTTCAGATACTGATCTTTGAATAAATTATAAATGCTAATTCAATGAAAATAACAATTTGTTTTTTTTTATTTTATTATTTTATTTTATTTTTTATTATTTTTTTTTTTTTTTTTTTAGCAGGTGCACTAATTTTAAGGTTTTGTCTTTCATCAAAAAAATTTGGGGTTTCGATTTTCGTCAGAGATTTCGTCTTTTGTCATCATGCGAAAAAGGTTTTGTCTAACAACTATATTTAGGACACACCTCACCAATTAATTAGCCAGTATTTAAGATAGTGACGCATAGGTACAAAAGTGAAAAAAATTAGACTTTAAGTTATTTAGATAAAGATCAGAAATTGTGATTCTTTCGAGTATAGCATTTTTACCTAGTACAAGTAACTCTCAATTCTATAAGTCTGAATTGAGAATTTTATAATGAAAAGTCTTTTATATAAGAAAATCTCGATATAAATAAGATTCTTGGCTGGACCTGGTGACTTTCTTATATCAAGAGGCAGTTGTACTAAACCATTTTTTGAGGCATACTTCTTTTGGCAAGAGTTAAACAAAAAAAACAGAAGAATAAACAAAGCGAAATAGAATATCTATAGCTCCCAAATGCCGTATATAACACTGCATGTTGGTTTAATCTAAAACATACTATAATGAAAACAATAATTAAGCAGCTAAGAATAAATGGCACTGATGAATATGCTATATTTTAAAGAAATCTGCATTACACATAATAAAACAATCAACAATAACAAATACAGCAAAATTAACAAGCAAGTTAATGGTTGACTCTTATTATATAAGTTTAAAAAACTGAGAATGGAAAGAATCTAAATAGTTAAATAGTTATTTAAAAAAATTTTAACGATGAAATAAAGAAAATAAAACATAAACAGAACAAAACATACTCGTTTTTTATGTTTGTCCTTTTGTTTTTTACGTTTGTCCTTTCGCAATTCTATCATAGATTCAAGAAAAGCTACTCTATCAGCGTTGTTTGTAAGATTATAGTAAAATTCAACACCCTTTTTAGGTAAGGAATTATAGGCCTTCTGTAATTCTTCCTTTTTATATTCGTCCTTTCGCAATTCTATTATAGATTCAAGAAAAGCTACTTTATTAGCATTGTCTGTAAGATCATGGTAAAATGCAATACCCTTTTTAGGCAAAGCATTATAGTGTTATAGAACGAATTAATTATTAGTTTATTATTTTATTTATTAATTATTATCTTAGAATATTATTATTATTATCTTGTATTATTATTAACATGTCGCTTAGTCGCTTAGTCGCT